GTATTAGTTTGTTATTATAAAACTCAAGGAAAGGTTTATCTATGGAAGGAAATTTTCTTTGTTGGTTACCAAGGGTGGGATGGAAGGGGAAGGAACACCATTAGATAGGTAGAGATAAGTATTGATTTGGGTGAAGAGAAGGCAATGTACCAAATGTAAGTGATCAACATGGTGGTATTGAGGAAGACATAGAAATGTACATAGGAGGTACAGACAACAAGGATGAACCCTTTTGCACATACAGTACAGCATTGTCAGTGAAGGCAAACATGGGTATACAGGTGAACAGATGGGTCAATGGGCTGAACTATTAGATATGTCTATGAAGCGGCGAGTATACCCAAGACCATATATAGGGTTGGCAGACAATGGTCCTATAAGTGTATTTGTATGATCTGTAAGAATTCTTAAGTATATAGTAGAACTGACAAGGGACAAGTTTGCAGTGACTTCTTGGTCACAGCCAGCTACCCAGAGTGACCGCATAGTTGAACCTGTGGGCTCAGGACCATAGTCGCAGGGGACATCAAGCTCAGTTGGCATAACATACTACAGAAAACATTGTTCCACCTCCTACTTTGGCAAGTAGCGACTGGGATCTTAAAATCTTGCCAGCAGCAATCTAGATGCAATGATGGGTCTTTCCTCGTCCAGAGCAAAGAATAATGAAGAAAATCAGAGATTCATGGAAAGAATTGGTCGTAGCGACTGATTATACCATGAGATCTGCAGCCTATATGACTATAAGACCAGAAGAACTAGATGGTGCCCAGCTACCACTGTCAACCACTTGGAGGGGATCTATATAGGAGATCCTGGATACAGAGGGAGAACAATGTGGCACAAAACTCAAAATCATTTGGGGGAAAAAAAAGGGAGGGTGGGTAACCAGGTTTGCTGGTCTGATAAAGCCTGGTGGAACAACTGAGACTATGGCCCCTAGCTGCCCTTCAGGTCTGGAATTGAACCCACACCTGTGGCTTCCAGCAAAACAAAAGACAGACGTAAGAGTTGAAAATTTACCAGAGGTAGAACATTCCTTGGAGAGAACATTCATGGGAGAAGGAGGGCTGTTTATGCACAGGGAGACAGCTCAGGGGGTAGGGGTGCATGGAAGGATGGACACAAGGAAGAGTGACTGTTGGGAGGAGGTGGGAGGGGAGCTGTTGCATTGTGGTGAATTGTGGTCAATGTCATGAGACAAAGTGTATGTGAAGTGCTGTATGGGAAATGAATTTGCTCTGTAAATTTTCACCCAAATCACAGTTTAAAATAAATATAAATAAAAAGAAATGAATACAAGTGGTAAAAACTTAGGTTCTGGCATTTTGGATCAACCAGTTGGAGTACAGTCGATTCTGACTCAGAGTGACACCATGGGCGTCAGAGCAGAACTGTATTAGAAGTGGATTGCCAGACCCTTTTTCCAAGGCACCTATGGGTAGATTCACCCCTCCAGCCTTTTGGTTAACAGGCAAGCATGTTAGTGTTTGTACCATCCAGCTACTGTGCAGTTTTGGATTGATTATGTCAAAATTTAGTGCCTAAGGCACTTGACTGCTAAACAGAAGACTGGGGGTTCAAACCCACCAGCCACTCCTCGGAAGGAAGGTTGGGCAATCTACTTCTGTGGTGATACCACCTCAGAAACCCAAGGAGGTGTCGCTATGAGTCGGGGCTGACTCAGCGGCACATAACAACAACAACAACAAGCAATGGAATCACATACATAGCTGAGTGTTTAGTACGCATAGATGTCAAGGATTAGTGTCTGTTTTATTCCTTAATGTAGCCTCATTTTACAACATATAGTAGACACTTAATAAGTATCTGTTGAATGAATTATTAAAAGTTATATCAGACTATGGGGAGGAAGTGGGAGGGGAGCTGCTGCATTGTAAATTTTGGTCAATGACATGAGACAAAGTATATGTGAACTGCTGTATGAAAAGTGAATTTACTCTGTAAATCTTCACCCAAATCCTAATTTAAAAAAAAAAAAAAAGAATTATGAAAAGTTATATCAGACTGACTTCATCTAAGAGGTAAACTGAAGTAAAGGACTTATAAAGTATACCTCATTTTGTTATATTAGCAGCTATTGGAAGGGAGTAACTATACCTTTATAGTCTTATGTACATTACCTGGTGGATGTTAAATAAATGTAAATTGGCCGATTACTGGAGACTATATATAACAAGCGAAAGTAGTTTTCAACATTTGCTTCTGCTTAAGTGACAGCGAGTGTTCCGTGAATATCTAATGAGCTTTTCTTATGCACATAGTTGTAGAGCCGTTATCTATTGCTCCCCACCAGGAGAGAATTGGATCCAGTCTAGTTTAATTTCATTCTTACTTTAAAGCCCAGGACTCCAGAATCCTATTCTGGGGATAGGGATGTGAAAGATGGCCCATGAGCCCCTGACACATCCCTTTTGTGCATCTGCATATAGGATCTCCCTTAAGGTTTCTTTGAACAGAGATATCTTAGCTAATAGAAAAATCTGCAGGGAATGGAACCCCTTGCTGTAGAGTATAATACCCAAGCAGAGAGCAAAAAATAAAAAGTTCTTAAAGGAGTTAGCCACCGCCACTTTCATCCTCCCTAATTTTTTTATTTCTCTAAATATATGTGACTGCCCAGTGCGTAGGTGTCATTTATTTTGACTTGTCCATTGGAACATTTTATCATTTGCATGCTCCTTTACTATAGGTGTTTTTATTTAAATTCTCTCATCTGGGGGCTGATTCACAATTGTTTCATCAGAAAAAAATACTGAGCTTTCATTTCTGTGCCTTGAAAGTGTCTTGTTAGTATAGTTCACTAAGGGATCAATCAGTAAAACAAAATAGGGCAGAAAGCAATTTTTGTGAATCCATTTAAATGAGATCCGTTTTTAGTTTCCCTAATATTTACGTGTTTTCGATGGGGGCTGAGCTGGTACTTGACTCTGAATTGTTGAGAATCTCTGTAGTACCGGTGAAGATTAAAGAGCATTTTTTTTCCATAAATACTGAAGCTTAGTGTACAGCTTATCTTTATTAAATTAGGGAAAAAAAACCTCTGCAGCTATTTGATCTCCCAACTCTGTATTTCAGTGAGTCACAGCATATGTTGTGTGCTCGTGTTTTGTGTACTCTCCCATGGAGCAGCAGTCACTCTCAGGTATAATCAGAAAGTGCTCATAACCTAGCACAAGGTCTCAGCACTGCTCATACATTCAGGAAAATCAATTAGTCCAGTTTGGCAAGAATTCCAAAATGGTTACTTGAACACTATATTGAAAGATTGAAGAAGCTATTAAGAAAAGTCAAAATATATGGTGGTTGGGTTTTTTTTTTTTTCCACATTACCCAGATGTACAAGATACATAAACAGTTTTGATGAGGACTTTGTGAAGAATACATAATGAGGCCTTGATTGAATCAGAATCATTTTAAACAGAAACATTTTTTTTTTTCAAAGGATGAGCTTGAGGTTCAATTGTAATTCCATTTGAGCCTAGAGACTTGGTATTAAAAAAAAAAATGGGTTATGACCTGTTTTTCCCTCTCCTCCCTTCCCCAAAACATTTCCCTCCCTGCTGCAACTCAAGTAGAAGCAGAATATGTTTAAAAATCCATTATATTTTTTATTGGCTGGGACACTAATGGAGGGCTCCCTGACAGCTCTATTTTACAGGCTGAATACTTTAATTAGGCTGGTTACTGATCAGTTGTTGGGATATTGATTGTGTCATTTATCAAAGAGCTGGGAAAGCAGAAATTTTGTTGTTGTTGTGGTTCTTGTTGTTGTTGTTAATTCAAAGTACAGGACTGGGCAAAGCAGGTCCTATTCTCCTGCTGCAGGCCCCCACTTCCATTGGGGAGCAGTCTGCCTGTGTACCAGGCTTTGTTTGGCTACCAGTACAGGGGCTTTGGGTAGGAAGAGTGTTCAAAGCCTTGACACAAAACCAAAAGGACCTTCAGCCACTGAAAATGTTTTAATTATGAAGAGTGCATAAATTGAGTCTTAAATGTGTTGTTTAACTAGTAGGACACTGAATTTTTGTAACTAAAGAGGAGAAGCAAGAATAAATTCAGTGCATTGATGGAGCCAAATGCTTTTCTCAGAAGAAAAGTGGTTTGGGGATCACATCAGTGTTCCTGTTTGTGGCATCATCCTCTCATAAACAGGTCAAGGGAGCAGCCATGAGATGACTTCCCCAATTACTTCCTTCTTTCGAATCAGTTAGACAAATAAGATGAGCACAAAACCCAGCTCTCTGTGTCTCGATCCTCTTGAAAAAGTGGCTAGATGTAATCGGCTTGCTCCTGTTACCTCGTCAGCACCTGTGGAACACAGCTTATAGGGGTGTTATTTTAGATACAACAGTTTTAAGTAAACTGTGAATTTGTTTACAGACTGTCAATGTCAAAACAGGAGAGGAAAACAGGGAAAAAGAAATGAGATCTCAGGAGAGTAACTGTCTGGCGATGTCATGGCAGTTGGTTTTAGCTCCTGGCCAGAAGACCCAGTGTTTAAACAGGACCCCATTACGGTACTGCATGGCCAGCCTCCTTGGGTTCTGACTTGTCTTAGAGCAAATCCACTTAGTCTCCAAGAGAGAAAGAGAGAGAGAGGAACCAGCTGGTTGGCAGAGAAACACCCTTGGCATTAAATGTATTCTTGAGTTGACACTGCCACAAGCTGTACTCCCAGATGGAAGAAAATGTGAAAGAAGCCATTTGTAAATGGGGAAAGAATAATAAAGTTAATCCTCTTTGGCGTTGGCTTCAGCACTCCCAATCCTTAGCACCACATTATCAGTATTTTTAAATTTCATATTCAAAGATGTTTTAACTAATAGAGCCATTTTGATTTTCCACAAATGAGGACTTATGTGCAATAGACCCTTGTAAAACTATTTGTAAAATGCATAATGCTTTAGCTTTTCTTCAGTTGACCTACTGGGAACATTTTTCAAAAAGTAAATGTAATTTTTATTTTCATCCCATAGGAGCCTACAGAGAGTGGGGCATTTTCCAAGCCATGCTTTGAGAACAGTCAAAACACTGCAGGCACCATCAGGAGAGATGACTGTAATAGCACGCTGCATCCATTTGGCAGTTACAGTCCACAAGACAAGTGGAAAGGTAAGAGCCTACCCATCCCCTCCGCAGCACATGTACTGAGAAAACACAAAGGTGTCTTTTCATTTCAAAAAGAAAGAAAGAATAAAAAGGAGTTAATTAGACTAAGTGCAGACTTTGTTGCTCTGAGTCATGAACATTGAGAGAGAGGTGGGAGAGCTGACTCAGAAGTTGTGAATCAGATTCCTGGCAGCGCCCCCAGCTTACGTGACAGTTTCTATACTTGCTGCCCCAAACATGGAGGGTTATGTAGAAAACAAACCTTGACTAGGGAAGCAAAGATGGCAAAGCATTATTTTTTGAAGCTTTTTTTAATATTGCAAGATACCAAATATGCATAACTATTAAACGTAAAAACTTATATGCATTAAACATGATTTAGAAATTGATACTTGACTCTAATTAATTGTAAACGGCAAACATCATGAACTTTGACCACGACATGAAGGTTGAAATGCTTTTGTCATTGACTTGCTACACTGACTTTCCCCTATTTTCCAGCATGAATAGATGTCTAGTAGAGCTCTAGATGTATAAAACCTGGGTGCTTTTTCCTGGTTTTTCAGCAATTTTGCTTCATATTGCCAAGAAAATTGTTTCATCTCCCTTTCTCTCTTTTTTTAATAACTTTTATTTTTCTTATATATTGGAAAAATAATACATATTCATTGTAGACAACGTAAAGAAAAGCAATAAAAAGAAAATTTAGTATTACTCATACTTCTAGCTATCAAAGATACTAATCAATAACATTTTATGTGTATTTTTCATGTCTATGCAAATGTGTGTGTGTTCTATAAGAATGAAAGTGTACTAGATGTATTGCTTGGGAAACTGGTTTATTTTAAAATTGGTAGCACATTAAGAACATCTTACTATTTCATTGAATATTCTTCTCCACCATCACTTTCAATGGATTCACAATTTTCTGTTGAATGCACTATATATTATGTAGCAAATTCCTTGCTTTTGGACATTTAAATGTTGCCAATATTGCACCTGGAAGCAATTTCTAAACTCTAAGATTACTGTCTCACAACAAACTTGTAAACCTGAGGTTGCTCTAGAACTAAATTGGTTCATCAGAATTGGGTGTTATTTTTTCCTCCAAACCCCTCCATTTTAGTAAGTGTGGCAGCAACAGCTGTTACCGTGTATTAATTGTGTACTTTCTGTTAGATATTGTGCTAAGCAATTTGCATGCATACTAGAAGTGGGTAATGTTATTATCCTCATTTCACAGATGAAGAAATAGAGGTCAGAGAGAGTATATAATTTACTCAAGGCCACATACTTGACATATACAGAGCCTGGATTCACCTATGTCTCTCTGACTAGAGCCCGCCCTCTAAAATCACATCCTAGACATTGTCCTGCATTAATCCCTCAAAACTATTGAAGTCCTTTCATTTTATATTGAGAATATCTGTTATTAGAAGCTGACTTTATATGCAGATAAATACTGCGTATATTTTTCTCATGTTCCTAATGAAATTAGACTTCTTTTGATAGAACAAGATCTCCTTCTGGGACCTTCAGTCACAATAGCAAGAGAGCCTAGGGAAGGAGCAGTAAAGTTTCTAAAGAATAGAACAGCCTCTCTCTACCATGTTTATATTAGATGATCAAAAGCATTGACATCTGTATTAAAATGTCAAGCCTTAGTATTTTGACTGGCAATTCTCAAACAACATGGGGACCAGTGACAATGCAAGTTCAGGGTTTTATTCCTAATTACACCAGTGACTTCCACAGTAACACTGGGCAAGTTACTTCATATCTTGCCTCATTTCTTAATACCTATCAAATATTGATTATGTGATAGTACCTATACTATGTAGTTTTAGAGGACATTGAAATACTCTAGGAAATGAGATACCATCTCTAGAAGGGCTAGCAAAGGCTTCAACAGCAAGTCCGTGCAAGTAGTTCAAGATAAAGTGTAAGGATACACTCCAAATGTTATTTTTAAATAACAAATCCACCCAAACACATGTTTAAAAAATGTAATAATAGTTTGAAACTTTAAGGTAATATTCAGGAGTTTGTATCTCTTGATACTTTTGGTCACAAGTGACCACAGACCACAAGTGGAAGATTTTGTGTATTCTCTTACTCTTGAGACACAGATCTCTTCATATCAATGAAAAAACTAACAAACAAAAACATACAGATTAGCTACCTACAAGGTGTCTCCTCCATTTCCTCCCCCACCTCAGTTTTCCAAGGTAACATTAAAAATGGAATTATTTGAGAGCTAATGCCATTAAACATTATTTAAGAAAAAAAAAGCAAAATCTATTATTATCTCCTTGTGAACCTGTGAGACAATATCAAGTATTATCTCCTTGTGGACCTGTGATACAATATCAAGTTATAAGAATTAGGACTATCAAAGCAAAGACCCATTAAATTTCAATTGGTAGAGGCCAGTGGATGAAATTCTCTTTTCTCAATAAGCCTGTTGACTTAGACACAATTAAATTATCTCAGAATTTATAAATATATTTATAAATGTTTATAAACATTTAAAAACATCATCAGCTTTTTGTAATGTGAGTAACATTTAAATTTTAGGAACCATTGTGAGCTCTTGAGTTTCAGATCCAGGTACAGTGTTAGCGCCACTAAGATTTGGCCAAGTGAAACCCACGTGAGGTTTGACTCACCATTACCAATTTTTTAAGGACTTTCTTTATAAAACAGGATCAGCTTGACAAAACGTAATGTCTAGTAAGGAGAAGAACTGTTACAGCCAAACAAAATATTGACTTTTTCCCTTCTCTTTTTTTCTTTCTTTTGTATATTTAAAAATCCAATGTTGATACGCTGTGTCCCATCTATTTTTGTAGTAATAGTACATACCACCCACAGTTCCTTAGTTATTTATTATTTTATTCCTGTCATGCTGTTACACAGAAAAGACATTTTTAGAACTAACGTTTATAGAAATTGTAACACCAGAAAATTCACATTTGTGTTGGAGAATTGCTAGCACTGCCCACAGTAGAGTAAGTGTGGTGCTCCAAGATTGGAATAAGGATGGAGGCTGTGTCCCAGGGATTTACTATAAAATCCTATTAAGCATCTGAATGGCAATGAAGTGCACCAACCCTGTATTTTCTGAAGAATCTCACTGGCATATCTCACCCCAGGCAGAGTAATAGCCTGAGAGTTGTTGGCTGCTGGTTTCTTATTCCTTCCCTTTTATGACTCTCATCTCCCCTTTTGTGCTCTTCTTGTACTTCCCCTTCCCTTTCCACTCAAGTCCATCTCAGCCCCTACCCCAGGCATTCATTGTCCCTATGTCTGTGCAGGGTCATCCACCAAGGCCTTCATAAAAAAATAAAAAATAAAAAAAACTCACTGCTGTAGAGTTGTATCTGACTCATAGTGACCCCTCCTTGAGTTCCCAAGGCGGTATCACTATGGAAGTAGATTGCCCAGTCTTCCTTCCGAGGAGTGGCTGGTAGGTTTGAACCACCAGCCTTCTGGTGAGCAGTCAAGTGCCTTAGGCACTGCACCAGCAGAGCTCCTTCATACCCACCCCAAATCAAACATTTGGTCTTTGTGTCTAGTCTCATGATGCTGGGGTCCTGTGAAGAGGCATATAATAGTATACCCACTGCCATCAAGTCAGTGCTGACTCTGGGTGACCCCAGAGGCTGTTTCCAAGGCTGTAAATCTTTCCAGAAGCAGATCGTCTCATCTTTCTTCTATGAGCAGCTGGTGTGTTTGAACTGCCAACCTATTAGTTGTTGTTGTTGTTGTGTGCCATCGAGTAGGACCCAACTCATAGCAACCCCTCCTTGGGTTTCCGAGGCAGTATCACTGCAGAAGTAGATTGCCCCATCTTCCTTCCGAGGAGTGACTGGTGGGTTTGAACTGCCAGCCTTCTGGTTAGCAGTCAAGTGCCTTAGGCACTACGCTACCAGAGCTCCTTACATTTACTTAGCACTTTGAATTTATAAGTAATTACTTGAATATGCACCATCTTATTTAAATATTCCACTCTTCTATTGAAAATATTCTTATCCCACTTCATAGATTAAGCATTTGAGGCTTAGAGAAGTTTTGTAATTTGCCCAGGGCTACGCAGCAAAAGGAACCTGGCCTGGAAGCATGGCATTCTTGCTCCAAAAGCCATACTCTTAACCCAAATGCAGTATAGTCCTTTTCATACAGTAAACATTACTGTAAGTTTAATGTTATCATCAGTTAATACTATTAAGTATAAGCATTTAATGAAATGATACGCATAATAGTTGCACAGTATACAATAAGATCTTAATAAATCATACTTGTTGTTAGTTGTGGTTAGGTACGTGTCTATTTTCTCCTGTAGGTAATAGGTAGGAAACCACAATTCAGACCACAGTTTTTTACTTACTTGGCCCCAAACTCAGATAATAATATTATGGCACAGTTGTTAAAAAAGAAAAAAAAAGTTCCCCCTCTTGTGTCTAATTGGTGAGTAGATATACTAAATTTCATGATGTTTTAAAAGTAATTTTGCCACTAAGAGGCTTAAATCACTCTGTAACCTAGACTATTCATTATAGACTCTTATTTACAAAAGTGTTAAAACATAGAAGAGGTGGCTTCATTACTCTTCCACAAATCACAGGTAATGAATATGTGTCAGCCCTTCATAGATGAAGAAAGGTAGTCAAGATGCATCAACCTGACTTGCCAGGGGTTGTCAGCAGGTCACCAGTGTGAAAACATATCAGGTGTAGACTTCCTCACACAGGCTTCACTAGCCTTCATAAGAATCCTTCAATCCTGTTAGAGATCTTATTTATTTCAAGGCTAGTTTATGTGTTGGCTAAAATTGTGTCTGTGAGATAAACAGAAACAAAACCAGGAACTGAGCAGTTCTGCCCATAGTTTATTACAGCTTCATTTGCTGTTTGTCTCTAGAACTATTGCTTCCAAATGATGGATGGACAGAGAGTGAAGTACCACCTTCTCCACCACCACATCCTGGTCTGGAATTGGGCCTTGAAGATTACAGCCACAGGTATCGACAAAATGATACATTGTAAACGTTCCTTGTTATGGTTTTTCTGGGAAAACATAGTAAACTTATTTTAACTCTATTTCTTTCTAGAATGAAAATCTCATAGTATCCATAATTCCTTTCCGGTGAAGGCATCTCATAGCTAAAGGCTTAGATTGTTCATATTTTGCTACTTGGAATTTACTAAACTTCATCCCATATTATTTAAATACTTAAGAAAATTGTTGAATTTTCTTTTACAAGTTTAACAACGGGAGCAGTGGAGCTCAAAGAAAAGTTTTATGGGGAGTTACAAACAAAACTGAGAAAAATAAAGCTTAGGGTTCCCCCCTTTTGTAATTGGCAAACCCTAAAGGTATTTTAAAAATAGATGTTCCTAGAAAGTTAATGGAATCTAAACATTAATGCAATACCATATAAATCTAAAATATTGAAAAGGGTACCCAATATTATATCCATTTTGTAATGGAAACTAAAAAATCAATAATTTTTAGAATCATACTAGCATGGGAGAGAGATTTACTAACATATACATCATTTGACTAGTGGAATTCATAGATTTTGTTCTTTTGATGAGTTTTAAAAATCATTATATTGTCCCTTTGCTATTCTCTATATTTATTATGGCTGCTAAAAACTGTGTATTTTATTCCATTCTATGTCCCTTGATAATCCTGTGAAATTTCTTCATTTTTCTTGCAGCAAGGCTAGTGTCATTCCTATTATGCTTTTTAATAAAATCCACTAAAATAAAGCCACACGCCAAGAGTATAGCTAACTCTATTATATGGAAGCTTACCTATATTCGGCCATCACTGATTCTTGCATTTTTGAAGCCAATTATTTTGCTCAAACACAATTTCACAAACTAGATTGATAATCACATTCATGTTCTAGATCAGTATCCCTGGGTGTTTCTTGAAAGAAAATGTGGACATAATTAATTTTCTTCACTTGCTTCCATTGTGTGCCTCTATCCTGGATCAAAAGGGACAGTTCAGTGGCATTCAGTAATATCCATTTTTAAAATAATGATAGTGGTCCAACTTTATTGATTATGCTGTGTATATGTACAAAGCCATTGGAATAGTACAAAGATGAATTGGATGAAAACTTTGCCCTCCACAGGCTGGTAGACTAATGAGTCAAAGTATAACTAGAACACATGATGCAATATAGTAATTACCAGAATATACAAATAAAATGCTCTGAGCATTTGAGGTAAAGGAGATGCTTCCAGATGGAGGAATCAGGGAGAATATAATGGGAAAAGTGGCATTTGAGCTAAGTCTTAAAGGATGGATAGAGGTTGGACATTAGAGGATATCAGGAGGGAAGGGACTTTCAGAAGGATGGAAGAGTAGAAGAAAGCATGGAGTGGGAAAGTCAGTTGATGTGTGCAACTTGCATCATGGCTGATTGACCAGATGATAAAGCCCAGAGTGCACGGATGAGCAATACAGACTTCATTCAGTAAAAAAAAACAAAACAAAACTCACTGCCATTGAGTCGGATCCGACTCATAGCGACCCCTCCTTGGGTTTCTGAGGTGTAACACTACGGAAGTAGATTCTCCAACCTTCCTTCCAAGGAGTAGGTTTGAACCACCAGCCTTCTGGTTAATAGTCAAGTGCCTTTAGGCACTACACTACCAGAGATCTAGTGAAATCTTATTGCAGACTTTTGAGTAGGCAATAGACACAATGAAAACTGGATTTTAGTTGTGTATAACATGGATTAGATAAGTGGAGCACAATTGGTATCTACTAGAAGCCTGAGCCTCGTTGGAAACCTAGTGTGCCATTGCAACGAAAGGTACTGAAGACCTGTGCCAGTGATGCAGGGGGAAGGTTACAGGTTAGACCTACAGGTGAAAGAAGTAGCTTAGAGATAGTGGGGTTTAGCAACTGTTTTTTTTGACTGCTGCAATCTATAACTTCTACCCTGTTTAGCAAAACACATACCTCCATGATGTTGAAAGAAAACTTGTATTGGCCCTCACTGCTGTGAATTTCTATTTTGTAGTGTGAACTACTAACTTCTATTTTCTTTTCACCCTTTTCTTCCCTAATCCCGTGTTTAGTCTTCTGTTCAAGCTACTCTACTGGAATTGCTTTCTTAAAGGTCAACAGTGATCTCCTTTCAGTCAAAAATACGGCATTTTCTCTGACTTTATTCTTCTTCTGCTCTACTGTATTTGAACATTAGATCATTTATTCACTTATTCCTCCATTCAAAAATATTTACGGAGCTTTGAGCCAGACACTATCTAAGGTTCTCTAATGGGTTAGAAAGCATCTCTTCCCTCAAAGAACATGAACCATCCTACTAAGCATTAGAGACAAACCATTCTGGGAGACCAGAGGAATAAGCCACTCACTCTGCAAGCAAGGGTCCAGGAAGGTTTCACAGGAAGAGTAGTGTTTGAGCTGTTTCTTAGAGAATGGAAAAGAGCTCTCTGGGCAAAGAAATAGGAGGAAGAGCACAGTGTTTTCTTGCTAAAGCATGAACGTCTAAAGGGAGAATCAATGGCAAGTATCTTGGTTGCCATGCCTGGTGAACACCAGACTTTTCCAGAGAGCAGTGACAAGCATGAAGATTTCAAGCCCAGAAGTAACAGTTTCAGGTTGAGACAGTTCACTCAGAGGAGGATAAAGTGGGTGTAGGGGAGCCGTCGACAAGAAGACCAAGTAGATTAGGTACTAGCAGGAGAAGAGAAAGGGCATGCAGGAGAAGCAGCATCGGTGGACAGGAAGGGCCAGAGCCAAGAGCAATTTTTAAGATGCAAGGAACAAATCTAATGCCATGAATTTCTCTCCCTCCTGGGATTCTGTGACCTACACTATCCTGCAAGCTGCTGCGTTGCTAGGTGACCAGAAGCAGCAGGGTTTGGATGTGTGAAACTTGGGATGGAGGAAGGATTGAGAGGGAGCCAGGAGGTTTGAGCAAAGGAGGCTGTTCAGTATTTCAAAAGAAATGAAAAACCCTCTAAAAGGGAAAATGTGTCCTTTAGGGACTGGGCCAGTCTTGAAAAAAAAAAAGAAAACTCCTACTGCATAAAGAGTATAAAACAAATTTGATCAAACTCAGTGCCTATATTTTGAACCAAAAGAAAATTATTAGTTGTAGTATTTTGTAAACAATTTTTAGGTATACTATTATATACAGTACAATTACAATGTACAGTACAGTGTAATAATAATTATTAGAGAAAGAAAGATTTAAAATATGCATGTCTAAAGAAAAATAAATATAAAGGATTTTTTTTTTTTTTTTTACTGTGAGATCTCAGGCAGAGTTTAAGACAATTCATCAGCAGCCAGAATATATTGAATTCTAGTAACACATTAGACGTTTGATCGTTTTCCTGTGTGTATCTTTGTCATCTCTGTCCCTCTCTATAGATAGATCTATATTTGTGTCTGGAAGATACCTATATCTACATCTGCCTACTTTGCCCTCTGTCTCTTTCTATTCACACACACGACCTGCATTTGCTCTCACTCACTAAAGCCTGTTGCTGGAGCCTGTCCATAAACACCTGAGGCTTCAGTGGGAAATTTTTTGGCATGCCTCTCAAAATCATCTTGCCCTGGCTTCTGATTTCAGACCAGTTTCCCTTGAGCATTTATCGCTGGTTTTTCTACATCTTTCACATTGCTGATTTCTCACCATATTCAGGCCACTGGCATGCATTTCATGCCACCCTTATTTATTCACTATGCAGCATAATTTGACATTGAGTATCGTTTGTATTTGATAGATTCCCTGGTTGTTCATGCTGAAAGCACTGCCTTTATCCAATTCATGTCTTTGGTCTGCTGTCAATTTCCAGCTTCCCATAGCCTCCACTGCAGCCCACTCAGCTATGAGCACATGCTAACTCCCTTCCAAATTAAAATATGTCATCTCTTACTGTTAATCATTGTTTCATTGTGTCACGCTCTCACTCCAAAACCTTTTGATATGTAGCATAAAATTACTAACGGTTTTACTAGCCTAACTTATGTGTCTAAAAGATTTTCAAATTAACTAATTCTATACTGCACTCATCTTGACTTTAATCGCATTATTTCTTGTGCTATACTCATTTCTCTCCTAAAATATCTGCCAATCTGATATAAGCTTTATCTTACCTCATTTCCATTTTGTATCAAGGCAGAGGGGCGCTTTCTATTGGAGGTTCTCAAAGTGTGTGCTTCATCACAAACAACTCAGTCATCATTAACTCACTGCCATTGAGTGGATTCCAACTCACAGCAATGGTACAGGACAGAGTAGAACTGCCCTGTAGGGTTTCCAAGACTGTAAATCTTTATGGAAACAGACTACCACATTTTTCTCCTGCAGAGCAGCTGGTGGGTTTGAACTACTGACGTTTTGGTTAGCAGAGGAGTGTTTTAACTACTGCACCACCAGGGCTCCTTGAAGTATGTCACTATGATCAATTTAATAGACACACTCAGGCATATATGTATATAAGGAGTTTATTACATTCATATTACAAAGCAGCCTTTTATTTCTTTGATCATTCTTGATTATATCTCAACATTTGTATATAACCTAATTAATTGTATTTAAATAAATCTAACTTGAAGTTATTACATTAGTGGGCATTGAGTCTCTGATTTTTGGAGGGGAGCAGGAATAATTGTTTCCCAGGAGTTTAGGAAAATTTAAGTTCTTATTCTTAATTTTAGGAGCTCTGGTGGCATAGTGAATAAGGCATTTGACTACTAACCAGAAGGTTGGCAGTTCAAACCCACCAGCCACTCCTCAGAAGGAAGGTTGGGCAATCTACTTCCGTAGAGATACCATCTCAGAAACCCAAGGAGGGGTCACTATGAGTCAGCGCTGACTCTACGGAAGTGTTTGGTTGGTTGGTTATTCTTAATTTGTCAATTAATGCCTAATTTGGTAAAGTAATCTAACTGAATAAATTGAATTAACCAATATGTTACTTACTTGGGTAGATTTCCTTAGTCTGCATTGAGCCAAGCATTTAAAATGCAGTGTGATCTATGTTTTCTTAAGGTGTAAGGGTCCTAACCCTCATCCCTGAAGCCTTGCATTATAAAATATGGCCTCTACTTTGATTAGTCATTTGGTTTCTTTCATCTAAGTATGTGTACCATGCTATTGAAACAAAAAGCTAAACTACAAAGTAGGCTACATAAGACAGTGGGAAGAAATCTGTGCTGCGAGGGAAGACCTGTTTTCTGTGGATCCAGAATCCTAACTACCCATGTCCCAGATTGGCCACCATTTTAGCCAAAGTTTGTGACTCTGGAAAGAGTTCAAGAAACTGAAGTTCTGCTCCTGGCTTTGCCGCTAGCCAGCTGCGAGACCTGGGACACATCAGTCTTCTTTGGGTCCCAGAGTCTTATCTAAAAGATGAAGGGTCAGGTGAGGTGACCTTTAATTCCTTCCAGCTCTTAAATTCTTTGATTCTATGAAGGCCTGAGTCTTTCTGACACTAAAGCCACATCTTCACAAGGGATCAAAGGATGAAAACCTGAGTGCAAATAAAGGTCGAATAACACATTTAAAGGCAAATGCTTCCAAACAACAAAGTTCAGAGAGACCCTCATGTTCGTAGTAGTACCTCAGAATTCTTCATTAAATGAACTGAGAAGAAATTAGAGTAACGCCATTATGCCAGGCCATTGTCAATAACTCTAAGTAGGCCGAGGTATGTTTTACCATTACTGGATACTTAAATATGTGCCATTACCACATCTAATACAGTTTATACATAGGTGGCTTCATCTATTCATAATACAGTGAGACTCCAGAGAGGAAGAAGAAAATAAAAAGCTCCATAACTTGGAAGAGTGGATTTAAACTTCTTGAGAAATTTTCATGAAAACGCACATAATCTTCCATGGAAAGTGGAGCCCTTGTTGATAGACTGCTGTAGAAATAAAGACAAGATCATTACAGCTCATGAGTCTTGTGCTCTTACTGTGTGCTAAACACTATTTTTAGGGCATAGCATATCTTATTTATTTTTATTTATTTTGGGTAAATTCTATTACTATCCATTTTATGGTGAGGAATCTGAAGTCAGGCAACCCTGGTCTCTCTCTTAAGAACCCAGGCCCCCAGCCAAACCACTACAATACCCTTCTGATTGAAAGGAGAAAACAATTTTTTATATACAGATATACTGAGAATCTAGGAGCCAAGTGTGTAAAGTGCTTGGCTGTGAACCCAAAGGCCAGTGGTTCAAACTCACCAGCCCCTCTGTGGGAGAAAGATGTGTCATTTTGCTTTCGTAAAGATTTACAGCCTTGGAAACCAAGTTCTGTCCTATATGGTCACTATGGGTCAGTATTGACTCAGTGACAGTGGATTTGCTTTACTGAGAATCTGACAAAAACAAGGAAGACAAACTATAAAAAGCATATATTCAGGAATTGAAAGCAGGTGTTTGTTTACTGAAGGCTTCGATAGCACTTTCTCAGTACCAGACACTGTTCTCTCTTCAAAAATGTTAGCTAATTTCATCTTCTGTTTGTCACTCTGATTTGTTTTTTTTGAAATCTTTTCATCCTCTTAACAGCACTGAAATTGAGTAGGATTATGGCCATTTCACATGTAAGGAAATGGAGTCACAGAAACGTCCAGTAAATTGCCCAAGTCACACAACTTGTGAGTAGCAGAACCTGAATTTAGAACCAGGGAGCCCTAGTGATGCAACAATTAATCACTCAACTGCTAATCAAAAAGTTGACAGTTGACCTGGTGATCTGTTCCCAGAAAGATTTTAGCCGAGAAAACCCTATGCAGCATTTCTACTCTGTCACGTCAGGTCGCAGTGAGTCAAAAGCTCGAGGTTACCTAACCTCACATAGCCCTCTCTGGTGGCTGTGCTCTTGAGCTGTGCTGTCCACCTCTCATAGCTACTTCTCGAACCTACCTACTGCTTCCAACAGTGAACATTCATTCATTCATTCTGCAATATTCTTATTGCTGAATATTAAGGCAATATTAAATATATATGGCGTGTGTTTCAAGAAAAGATTAAACTTATTTTGGTATATAATATGTGATTGAAACAACAAGATAATCTGTTCATTTTAGAAGGATTCCCATTCAAAACAGTTAATACGTTTTTGTTTTGATTTGTTGTTTAAAGTGTCAAACCCCCAATTTTGAAAAACTCAACCCTCAGTACTTTCACATATACCACGATGCTTAATAATTTGAGTTTTCACTATATTTGGTATTGGGATAGATGCTAGATTGAAATGTACTACCGTATTTACTTTCTAAACATACAAGAATACCAAGGGAAAAAATGGCTGCAATGTCATTTATAAAAAGCGTGCAGATATAATTTATTCTTACGTCAAAAAATAAGGCATTGTCTGTTATTCCCTTATATAATCTCCTCCATCCTCGAGCAAACAAATGAAATACCCAGCCAAAAGAAAATTGAGATTGACGACCAGTACTGGAAAGCATACTAGGACATTTCATGTATCTTGTGTCTAAATTGTCAACTGTGCTTTTCCTGTTATTTCCTTTTGGTGTTATTGATGAACAGGCTATTTGTTCAATATTAGCATTAGTTTTAGAAAATAGGCCTACATAAAGTAGAAAACCAAACTGCTGCACCTATCAGTCATTCAACAGGGTGGTTTTCTATGAAGACTATGAACCCATACACATGTTGATAAAGGAAGGGCATGTTCAGCCCCCCAAGAATCTGTTAATTCACTTTTGAGCTCTGCTAATATCTGCTCTCTTTCTTTCTGGTTCCGGGGCTTTCCAGTCCTACCATCCCCACTTAAAGTTATATGTTATACAGTAGGATCCCAGTTAGCAGAAATCAGTGAAGAGTACAACACGATATTAGCCAGAGAATATTTAAGTTGTATAGAGTGATGAAAAGAGTTGCTGTATCCCCATGAAAGAAACCTAAGGTTCAAGAATTGGTTTAAAATGTCTGGTTGGGAACTGCAAAGAGAGTGATGAGGGTTTGTGCTCAAAATGAGAACTGTTTCTTTTTATTATTTAAAAAAAAAAAAAAATTTTATTCTAAGCCTAAACCTGGCACATGGCTTCTTTTCTGCAGCTCTGGAGTGGATTCGGCAGTATATTTTCCAGATCAACACATCAACTTCAGATCTGTGACACCGGCCAGGCAGCCTGAATCAATTAATCTGAAAGCCTCGAAGAGCATGGACCTTGGTAAGCGAGGGCGAGGTGACATCCAGGTCAGCTCTCTGGCCTCAGCCCATCGATCTCCCGAAGCTCCTGCTTTTGTTTCTTAAACTCAAACCTTCGGGAGCAGGATGGCTGAAGCCTGGAAGAGGAGATAATGGTCTTAATGGTCATCTTACCTTCCTGTCTCCTCTCACACATTTCATTGTAATTACCTCTTTTTTACAAGTTTGATAAATGATTTATTTTTTTAAAGTAGTCCATGAAATGTGCTCCCTTTGCAAGTCAGAAAAATATATGAGTTCTTCTCAAATAATCTAAATGCTATAAGCATCTCTAACTTACCTGCTTGTTGTATTTGCACTCACTTTTGCCAGTGGTTTTTCCAATTTTTTTGCACATACGTACCTGTTGCAAGGCTTGGGACAATGATGTGGTTAGTTGAATCTTTTTCCATGGTACTGGCCCTCCAATCCTATTTTCCATGTGGGATGGATAGGGGTGATATGAGTGGAGAAGATTCATCTCTTGAAATGCCTGTCTCCAAGTCCTGTGACACTGGAGGGAAGAAGGGTCACTAGGCTTCCCAGACTGCAGGTGCCAATGTTCTTTGGGTCAGTGACTGAAAAACTTCATGGAGATTATGAGTCCTGAGGGAATTTCCAGGAAACTCAGCTGTTGGGGTAAAACAAGGGGCCCTGCAAACCTGAGAGCTGGGTTCTCCAGGCCCTGGGACATGGAATTCGAGAAGACATCTCAGATACACAAGAACACTACAGCCCTCCCATGGGCTCTTGGAGAGAGAGAGCGCGCGCTATTGGAAAACAGTGTGGGTGCAAAATAAATTCTTAGCAAAATATGCATTGCTTTCTGAATGCTCAGAGACCATGCTTTGCAGGTTTTTTTCCCCCTTCGAAGCATATTACATATTTCATTAGTAGCAACAAGAAAATAGAATAATCAAAACTACGTTACTCCATAAAACAATCTGATAAACAGTGCTTATCTGTTACTCTTTTACAGGAGTTCAGAAAAATGTTCAGTCATGATGAAACAAGAGAAATTGATTCTGTTTTCTATAAATTAACTAGATCACTTGGATGCCTTTGCTCTAATCACCTGTAGTCAGAGACTGATAGAAAACCTCAACAAGCAAACTGCTCTGAGCCCTGGTCAGGAAAGAGTAGTTTCTCAGGCGTGAAGCTTTGACAAACCGAAAGAATAATGTGTGACAGTGACATAGTTTATTACTAATAATTTAAGGAGCAATTTGTTTTTGCAGAGTTCATGATAAACATTTCCTATTCTGTCTTCTAATTTCTCTGTGAAGAAAATGAATGAATGAAAACTGCTCTTAATTTGGAGGAAGAGGAAAAATATATTGTTTTCCTCATTTAATTAATAAAAAGTCAGAAGTATGGTTTTAAAATATCTCTGCAATAGAAAATAATAGCATGCATTTCTTTATTTAAGAGAGAGAAAAACATCAAATACATAAAAAAGCAGGTCCAGTTGAGTTTCTGCTTACATCTTTTTTACTATTGAAAACTTGACTTTTGAGAAGTTTCCTCTTTTAAATTGAATTATGCATTGCAAAGTAGATTCCAATTCATAACAGCACTATTGGACAGAATAGAACTGCCCCATAGGGTTTCCAAGGCTGTAATCTTTACAGAAGCAGGCCACTACTTCTTTCTCCTGCAGAGCTGCAGGTGAGTTCAAACCTCTGACCTTTTGCTTAACAGTTGCATTCTTACCACTGTGCCATCAAGGTTCACAAATTGAAATAGCCCTTGCCAAAATTGTGTCACTTACAGTTACCCACTACATTTTATTATGTTTTTACTGCGAATGACAACAATTATACTAATATTTATTCAGTTCATAAAATTTGACCACTCATTATTGTCTTCAGGATGTAAATGCCAAATTAAAGCATTAACTAAAATTCACTATTCAGCAGAGCCCTCAATAACATGGTGTAAAAACATTTTTTCAAGTAGCCATCAAAGTTCTGCCCCTTCCAGGAAGTGCCAATTGAAAACTAATAGTCTTGCAGAAGACTCTGAGGGTCAGCACTCTAGAACCATTCTGATCCCCTCTCCCTAAAACAGTCATGCAAGTATAATAAATCTGTTGGCTTTCTCAATTAATAAACTCAGATGATACCCCAATGGTAAGCACTTAGAAGTCTTTCCTTTTTATTGGGTATATACAATATTGTAGGTAGTTTAATTTTCCATTATAACACTGGGCCAACATAAGAAAATAATGTATATGCTAAAAAGATTGTTGATCATGCTTATTGGAATAGTCCTCTGCAAGGTCAAGATGCATTCTTTAAAAAGCGTAAGTATAATTCCTGAAGCACTTCAGATAGCATTTATATGGTTCAAACTAATAAAAAGAGAGAGAAAGAAAGAAGAGGAATGTGTTGTGCAATTTATATTGAATTCATGCTTGATAAAGGCAGTAGGAGTCCTCAAAGGACCCTCCACCAGGACCCTCTTTGTTTTTGTTTGGTGGCTGCTGCTGCTGCTGCTTTTTTTTCTTTTTGCTGAACCTAAGCTAGTGTTTTAACCTGCATATTACTGAATCCTTGTTCATGTATTCAAAAGATGAGTGGGTTCCATTTATTTTTTGTTGCTTATATTTTCAAAGACAAATAATTCTTACTGGGAAAAAATAAACTTTCCTTGTCATCATCTCCCTACACT